TCCTACTTTCACCCAATTCACTGGCCTTTCTTCCTTGCTGTCCTTCCCTCCCCTCAGACTCACAGCCCTAACACAGAGCAGTGGTCCCCTCCTGGATCCTGAGTCCCTTCCCCTATGTCCAGTGTCATCCTCCAGCCTCCCTCCAAGCTGCTGTCACCCATGGAGTTATTTTTCTTGGCTGAACCCCTGTACTGTCCCTTCATGGCCATGCCAGGATCTGGGTGTGCTTCACTAGAATCCACATGCAGTTCACTTGCCAAGCAGCATCACTCAGCAGCTTTGCCGGCCTCTTTCCACCAGCTCTCCTCAACTTCAGTTCACTTATTTAGTGTCAGGTTCTTTGGAGCTCTTTCCCTCTCCTGAGCAGGCATCCTTTGCCAATCCTGTTCCTATAACCTATTGTTGCTTTTCCACCAGCCCCCTTCCAAAAGTCTGATATTAGGCCGTATCTTTAGATTGATTTCATATTGATTTAAATAGGCATTCCATTTCTCCATCCAAATACAGTGTCTTAGTCACAGGCTTCTGTATTTTTCCAGTTGCCATTTCAAGTGAAAACAAGTTACTGATCTCCCACCTCAATGATGCAGAGCAGTAGACAGTGATTTCATCTTCTCTTCACTGAGATCATGTGCTACTCTTGCTCCTTCTTTCCATGCACCACTTTTTTTGCTGCCCCAATCTTTTTGGATAATTTTTTTGCAGGAGTCAGGTGGTTTTTAACCAGGTCTTTTAAATTCTTAACCAGATTAAGAATTGACAATACTGGATTAGACCAATTTGCCTCAGCATGCCACCCCAAACAATGGCCAAAACCAGTCCCTTTAGAGTATAAAACCAACACCAAAATATGTTACCTTCCTCTATTACCTCCCAGTTTCCAAACACTTTCATCTCACAGACTTCCTGAACTACACAAGATTTCTGTGCACATCATAACCCTCAAAAGATTGTTTTTTCCAAAGACTAAGAACAAGTCTCCCTGTGGACTTCCGGCATTTGCACCTGCAGCACAGGATGCCACTCCTCACATGCCCATTGCAATGAGAATCATTACCTTTCCTTTTGAACCTGTTTTTAGTTTCTTCCAATGTCCTCAGTTTTTGTAATGAAGAAAAAAACAAGGCAGATCAAATAAGATGTAACCTCACTCTTCCTGTCACCTGTATCTGCTTTACTCTTCCAGCTTGCTCAGAACATGGCAAGACAGGAAGGTCTTGGCAGCAGCTCAGAGTCCTATAACCAGTCCTGTCACTTCCAGAGGGTAAGATTTTGACAACCCAGTTCAGCCTCACTCAAACCTCATTTTCTTCCTTGTTACTTATGTATTTTATTCCCACTTAATTTAGCACTAATGAACATGGTCTCTCTTGCACGCTGTTTGCAACAGGAAGATCCCCCCAGTATGTGCAGGGAGATATCCAAGTCTCTTGCCAGGAAGACTCCATTCCTTGGTGTCAGTTTGTCAAGGAATGAGTTCTTAGTAACTTTTACTTGTCATTTCTCCCACTTCCAATTGCCTTATGTCATAGGTTTGAAAAGAGATGTTGGAATTTTTCCCTAGGGTCCTGTTTCCCCTCCCCTCATCTGTTTCTGATGAAGTCGGGGGACGTGGGGAGTGCAGGAGCAGGGGAAGAGGGAGGTTTCCTGGAAGCACAATTGCCAGGGGCACAGCTGGAGAGTCTTTTGTTGGGAGGTTTTTGGTTTTGTCTGCCCACTGGACAGAGCGGGAGCCCGGTTTTGGCCGCCCTCCTTTTCTTTTCCTGACAGGAAGGGTTTTTTTACCACGGAACACCTCGCAGAGGATGACTGAGAGAGAGAGACCAGCCCACCTCAGAGCGAGGTATTCTGCCTGACCACCTCAGAGCAAGGTACTCTGCCTTTGAACTACCTGTGGCCAAAAGGACTCTTTCATTGCTGGCTCTGAGCACACATGGGTGCAAGCAGCTCTTGAGCTCCCTGGACATTTTGCCTTCAGCTTCCCCCCCTTCCCCTTCGCCCTGCCCTGGGTTTCTTCCCCCTCCCATATGGGGAACTGGGAGTTTGTTTTGTTTCTTCTGAAAGTTTTTGATTGCACCATTTGTTTTTTATTCAGATTTTGTTAATAAAAAGCTGTTCTTTTCCTTTTCCACACTTCCACCTGAAGTTTCTTAATTTCCAAGTTGTAATCTTGCTGAACTAAAGACACCTTAATTTCCCAGTTCCATTTTCACTGTGGAGCACTCAGGAAGGCAGCCAGTCAAATATATTACATTCAACTAACTGCCAGCCTTGCTAGTTCCTGTGCTACTGTCTGCAGGCCTGGGCTGGGACATGTTTTGAACAGGGCTCTGTCACCTGGGACTACAGCACAGATCCAACAGCTGGTTTTAAAATCTATATGCTGCTCTTATCCACAGCCTTTCAGTAGGCAAAGGCCCTACTCTTACTTACAATGTAGTCGTTGTCCTCATCCTTGGGGCCCTCGCTGTAGTACACACGATAAGCTTTAGCCACTTGGTCAATCTGTGCCCTGGTACCAGTCAACCCGACCAGCTTTGGAGAAAATTCTACATAGAAACAAGACATTTACACATTTTAGTGAAAACAATCCCTTCAAGAGCCTCCTTACCAGTGCTCGGTATTACATGCTATGAGACACAGAGGAAGAAAGCAGTAATACCTTTAACATATTTGGCAATGGCTTCTTGGTTGTCCCTCTCAGGATCAATGGTGATGAAGAGCGGGGTCAGATTAGGCAAAGACGGAATTTGTTCTGTGACATTAACAATTATTATTTTAAAAAACCAGAAATCATTTCTCATCTCCCTTCAAACAAGCTCACAGCCAAGTAACATCAGTCCAAGCCCACCCTAAGGGACTAAAAAAGGCCATTTTGTGCAGCTTAATCTATCTAATTTGTGAATGATTCAAATATTATGAGATGCAATGCTCTGTGTCTGCACTGGGAGCTTCCATCCCTCCCTGCCCTGCTCAGGAGGGATGACAGACTGGCTGTGCTGCAGAAGACGTGGTGTGATGCACATTTGGAAGCACAGTGGATTACACAAGGGAAACATGCTGGGATGGGGGAACAGGAGGAAATGTGAAGACACAATTTGGGCTCTTTCCCTCATGTTCCAGCCAAAGCCTTGGCTGTATTTCCTTCACATTAGTCTGTTTTCCCACTTGCTGGGTTTACCACTATCCCTGCCCCATAATTCTTCAGGGCCTGCAGGCTGAGAAACCCCTAACACATGGCCTTCCCCCTTCCTCCATTCCACAGCACAGCCACTCTGCTTCAGGAGAGACCCTCACAGAGATATTTTATACATCCTGTTCTCAGGATGCATAAAATAGAGGGAAAAAAATCCTAACACACCTCACAGTCACTTCTTGGCAAAAGTACAATGCACTGCATTCCCTGTGACCTGCCAACACCGTGTTTTACTCCCAAGTCCGCTGTTATGGAAAGACCAGTGCTGTCATGTCAGACCCTAGTGACAGTCAAATTGATCTATGGATCACTTAGCAATTAATTCAACTACTGAATAGCAGCCAACAGCATTTTTAAAAGAACATCATCAGTTATCACCATTTGTGACATTTTATTAGAATAAACCTGACCCTCCCATAAACAGGATCTCTACACCCACTGAATTCCCTGAATTCCCATACCAATTTCATCTACCACTGCAATCATTTTCTCCAGTTCATCGGGACACACATCAGGGCAGTGAGTGAAGCCGAAGTAGATCAGCACCCACTGGCCCATGTAGTCCTCACTGGTCCTGGGCTGTCCCTCATGGCTCACGAGCGAGAAGGGCCCTCCCAGCAGCGGCTTCCCGATGCCTCGGTTACGTTCCTTCTCCAGCTCTACAAAACACAAGAGGAGATCAAACACATCCATGGCACAATCCCTACTGCTTCGCCGGCGAGCCTTGGAAGCAGCCAAGTCAGGCACCACGGTGGGTCATGAGCATGGCACTGCCAGGCCAAGATGCACCAGCAGCTGTCGTGTGCATGACACCAATGCACCAGTGTGCACGTGGCTTCCAAAAAGCACTGCTTCAGGACAAAATCAAATATGTCACTACATTCCTTCGCAAGAGAGTATCTTTCTTTATTGTTATCTGATTGCATTTTTGTTTAAAAAGAAAGGGGGGAAAACAGAGAGAAAGGTGGTTTCCCACCTGGCCTGGTGGGAAACAGAAAAAGCAGCATCCTCTGCAAACTGAAGATACCCTAAGACCTGTAACATCTGTTTTCAACAGTAAATCCATGAAAAGGAAAGGCGTTGGCATTTCCTGCAGGAGAGGGCAAAGTTCCCGTGCCTCCCAGAGGGAACCCAACGTGCCCACCCCACCCAGCTCCGTGTCCGTGCTGCATCGCCGGGCACAGCGCGTGCAGCCAAGCACAACTATTCCAACCTCAGAATTTTCAAACGCTGAATCTTGCTTTTAATTTTTGAAAATTTTCCGCGGCACTTCTGTACACACAGGCGCGGAGCGTCCCTGTGCAAAGCTATGATACCGAGCGATGCCCGAGCGGATAAAATACACCTGACTACAACAAGTACATCGTCTGAGTACAAAAAACGCATCATCTGAACACGAGACGCGGCCCCGCCGCTGCTCCTCCATCGCTCGCACTCACCCTCCTCCTTGCGCCGCTTCACCGCCTTCATGCCGACCAGCAGCCCCCCGCCCAGCACGGCGGTGGCCGCCAAGGACCGCCAGGACACGAGCTGCGGGGACAGGGGCTCAGTGAGCGCCGACGGGCAGGGCCGGCCCGCGCCCCGCTTCCCTGCTTCCCTGCTTCCCTCCCTCCCTCCCTCACTCACCCGCCTCTGCCCGCCCGCCCGGCGGCCGCTGCCCGGCGGCAGCTGCGAGAAGGGGCGGCTGCGGGGCGCGGGCAGCCCCGCCTGGAGGCGCCCGGCCGGGCCCGACAGCGGCCCCAGCGCGGCCCGGCCCCTCCGCACGGCCCCGCCGAGCCGCCACAGCGCCCACCGCGCCGCCATTTCGCGCCGCCCGCGCCGCCCCTTCCGCCCCGCCCGCGGCCGCCATGGAGGCGGCGCCGCGCGTCGCCTTCGGGGTCATCGCCGACATCCAGTTCGCGGACGCCGAGGACGGGCACGACTTCGGCGGCTGCCGGCGGCGCTACTACCGGCACAGCCTGCGCCTGCTGCGGGACGCGGTGCGGGCCTGGGCCGCCGAGAGCCCGCCGATCGACTTCGTGCTGCAGCTGGGTGACAGCATCGACGGGCTGAACGCCCGGCGCGGCGAGGCCGAGGGCGCCCTGCGGCAGGTGCTGGAGGCCCTGGGGCGGCTGCCGGTGCCGGTGCACCACGCGTGGGGCAACCACGAGCTGTACAACTTCAGCCGGGCCCGGCTGGCGCAGAGCGGGCTGTGCAGCCGCCCCGCGGGGGGCGCGGCCGGGCCCCCGGACGGGCTGTGCCAGGCCTATCACTGCAGCCCCGCCGCGCGGCTCCGCCTCGTCGTGCTCGACGCCTACGACCTGAGCATCCTGGGCAGGGACCCCGACAGCCCCCGCTACCAGGAGTCCCTGCGGCTGCTGCGGGACAAGAACCCCAACGAGGACCTCAACAGCCCCGCAGGTACACCCGGCGCGGCGGGCTGGCAGCGAGGCTCGGGCCGGTGCCCCAGGGCTGTCCACCTCCTCCTCCTCCCTGCGGTCAGTGCGGCCCTAATTGGGCACGGGAGATGCTCCCCCTTACCCGTGTTGTGCTCTGTGCCCCGCAGTGTCAGAACACCGGGTAGCTGTTGGTGAGGGGGCTGTTGCGGAGCACTGACTTGTGCCCACCGATCCCATGCTGGGGGGGGACGCCCAAGAGCGGAAACGCTGTGCATGCAGTGTGACCAAACCCCCTGAAAACAAGAGCAAAACACTTCTCTTTTGTCCAAGGAGGCTGGAATTTTGATCCAAGAAAAACAAAACAAAAAAAAAAAATCCCAAAGGTTAAGAGAGTAAACCATTTATTGTAAGCCGATTTATGTAAGGCAAATAGAGGAGCTGTGGGAGGTGTATGCACCTGTGCCTAACCTTCTTCTTCATTGTAGGGCTCAAAGAACCTCAGTTTGTAGCATTTAATGGAGGATTTAGCCAAGCCCAGCTGGACTGGTTCGATGAAGTCCTCAAGTTCTCTGATGAAAACCAAGAAAAAGTTGTAGTTATGGGTAAGTGGATATGGGGGATATATCATACAATCAGAGAATGGTTTGGGTTGGAAGGGCCCTTAAAAATCATCTAGTTCCAACCCCTGTACTTGAGGGGGGTATATATTCCCAGAATATATTTCTGGAACATATACTGGGAACAGCCGGTGTATGTGAGCTGAGGAAAACTCGTAGCTTTGTAGCTCCCCTGAGGTACAGCTGTAACCTGTGAAGGCGTAGGACAGACCGTGCCCATACTGGCGGGAGCTTACTGCACAGGCTTGGCTGAGCTTCCCAGCAATGAGGCAGACTTTGTTACAGTGACTCTCCTGGTTTTTTCCCTCTCAACTGCAGGCCACCTGCCCATTCACCCCGATGCTTCGGACAGGGTGTGCCTGGCCTGGAATTACGAAGCTGCCCTGTCTGTCATCCACTCCCACCGATGCGTGGTCTGTGTCCTCGCGGGGCACCTGCACGATGGGGGGTACTGCCAGGACTCCCATGGAGTTCATCACCTCACCTTGGAGGGGGTGATCGAAACGCCCCCAGAAAGCAACGCTTTTGGGACTATTTATGTCTATGAAGATAAAATGGTACTAAAGGGAAGGGGCAGAATTGCAGACAGAGTTATGCAGTTCTGAAATGCCAGGTAAAATACAGATTGCTCTTCAGGAAGGACTTGGGATAAAAATGTAAGGGATTCAGCTCACTGGTTGTAGAAAGGCGCATGGCTGATCCTTATTGCTTTAGCTTAGGCAGGCATTTTTCTCTTGGATACAGGATTTTAGAAATTACGTTTCTGTAAGGAAAGCCTGATTTCCTTGTGGAAAATGGAGAAGGCCAGTAACTGAAATACTTAAATGCAGAATGTTGACTTGAAACACCCAATCCGGACTGGATTGTTATTGTGAAGAGATGCAAACCATATTATGAATATTGTCAAAAAAACACCCCTTGTTATCCTCTCAGTGAGCATTAAAGCATGCAGAGTTGTACCTGCCTAGCCGCATTTCAACATACTTATTTTCTGTGAACATCATAGGCAATAATGTCTCATGTCTGGCAGAATACACCCACCCTGTAGCCTAATGCAGCCTTCCAACACTGCTTTAAAAGACTAAAGTAATCTCCAGAAAAGATTAAGCCTAAAGAGAATGGAGACCATCCGTGTTACAGCAGGGAATGGTGCAGATACACAGGCAGGGACCCCTGTGTGCACAGCTGTGACCTCCTGCAGCTGTGCTGAGTGGAAGAGCCCTGACACGGGTCTAAAGGGGTTGCTGTGCTGCACCTGGAGCTGTGCTGGCTCTGTCCCACCCAGCTCATGTGTCCAGTGTATCCACCTGTGCTTCCTTCTCCAGGATGAGCAGTGGGACATGCTTACTGCTGCTGGGCTGCTGCTTGGGTCCTGCTTTCCAGGGAAAAGCCAGTGAGCAGCAAAGTTGTGACAGTGCCCACATCTGCTGGTGGCAGGCTCAGGTACGCATCTCCCAAAAAATAAAAGATACGGAGGCTTTTGTTGAGTTTTCTTTAGAAAAATAATGTTTATTACTCTGCAAAACTAGTCATTTTCAGTTAATAGCAAAAATAATTTTTCAGATATATTCTACATATCATTTTAGCACAGGAACAGAAATACAGACTGCTCAGTTTCCCAATTAGTCTCAAATGGATTATCCAGGCAGATATTTGGAAGTTCTATGGCTGTAAATAGTCATGTCTTGAAACAGTTTTGCTTTACTTGTCCCTTACAGAACAGTAGATTTCCCAAAGTACAAGGTGGTTGGAGAGTGATCCAGGGATGCCAGGATGTCTTGAATATACCATTAGAACACATTAAATCAACAGGCTTTGAAAATGTAGGAAGCAGCCAGCTGAACAATAGTTTCCACAGAAACATTCCCCATTCAGATTTGACGGTGTTCCTCAACTTTTTACCAAAACTCAAATGGCACTGCTGGAAGTAGCCAGGCATTCTTGTGTCCTATCAAACTGACACTAATCTTTCATTAATCACCAACAGGAAAGGCAAGTACAGTCAGAATATTTACTCTAGACTTTCTCCCACCCAGTTAAATCACTGTTTTGCAGTGCTCTGGCCAAGACACTCGCAGCTCTTTGTTCACGTAAATGTACAGCCATGAAGCAAAGGGGAGGAGGGCGACCACGACTGCAGCAGCCAAGCAAACTCCTCCCAGAGGACTCCTATAAAGGAACAAGTGCAACACAGCTACACAAATCACAATTGTTAAGGTTGAAAAAGACCTCCAAGATCATCAAGTCCAACCTTGTACCACATACCTCCATGCCCACTAACCCTATCATGAACTGCTAATCGTTTTTTAAACACTTCCAGGAATGATGACTGCACCACCTCCCTTGGCAGCCCCATCCACTCTTCCAGAGAAGGAATTCTTCTTAATATCCAACATGAACTTTGGTGCAACTGGAAGCCATTTCCTCTCATCCTGTCCCTGGTTCTCCCCCCTCCAGTCAGGGAGTTGCAAAGAGCAAGAAAGTCCCCCCTGAGCCTCCTTTTCTCCAGGCTGAGCCCCCCTCAGCTCCTCTTTGTGCTCCATCTCTTTCCCCAGCTCTGTTCCCTTCCCTGTACACACTCCAGCCCCTCAATGCCTTGTCTGAGGGGCCCAGAACTGCCCTCAGGATTGGAGGTGCCTCGGCAGTGCCAGCACAGGGACAGCCCCTGCCCTGGTCCTGCTGCCACACTATGGCTGCTACAAGCCAGGATGTCCTTGGCCTTTGTGGCCACTGCTACAACTGCTATGAAACATTCTCATCTGCCTGCAGCTGGAAAGACAGCAGGCAGCCCTTGGCCACTCTAATGTGCCTCCTGCGGATGCATCAGCAGAATCCTTTACTGGAGAGGCACCATGTACCAGCAGAAAATAATTTTTTGACAACTCAGGCTACAAAAACAAGTTGGAATAAAAATAGGCATCTTATACAAAAAAAAAAGGGGAGCAGAAAAAATGTTTCATGTAGCCTTACATTTCCTCCTGCCCTGACTTCTACCTGTGTGAGAACCCTCAGGCTGTAGCACCAGCTGCTACTGCTTGGGCGTCTGAAAGGTTCAGAGGGTAACATGAAACAGAAAAAGCAGCTGCCAAAATCAGCTATGTGTTTTCAGGGACCTAGTCACTAAGTGTGAACATAGGAATGGATTAAAGAAAAGGAGAAAATAAAACTTACTTTGCTGAACTGCGACAAAGCCTCATCCATATTGTAATAATTACCAGACCAAACAACTCTCTAAAAAGCCAAATGAAAAACAAATCAGAAAATAATACAAGCACATGTCTATGTTTAGAGAATACAAATTTTACCTCCAAAACAAGCGGAGGCTGCTCCTTTGGAGAAGTTCAATATATTTTACTAGCACTATAATAATAAAGGTTATTCACAAGGAATAACTTTGCTTTGCATCACAGATCTACAGACGTGACCCAGCTAAACAGATGCAGAAATTCTGCCTCCACTTTTTGCTCCACTGCTAGACTTGAATTCCACAGCACCTTTCTCTCATTAACACAGTGCAAACAGCAACCCAGTTTTCCAGACCATGAACAGCAGCCAGGGCTTCACCTCAATTCTGCTCAAGCAGCTACTTTAGGCAACACCCAAATGTCCAGGTGAGAAATCATCCCTCCTCCTCAATCTCAGGCAGTTTGGAGGACTCAGCAGCCCTTGCCAGATAAACATGCATGTGGTGTCACCTCAAGGGTTTTGGAAACATTGATCCTGCAGCCCCAGCAAGAGAGCACAAAGCTGTTTCACTGTTCTTGTGTTCTGGACTTTGAAAGCCAGAACTGCCTCCAGGTAAATCTACCTGCTGCAATCAGGCAAGCAATGACTTTCACTCTCCCTGAGTCCAAGGAATCACTGCTTTGGAGCATTATGGTCCCTTCCCTTTGTTCTGATTCCTCTGGACCAACAGCACTCACTGCAACAGCCCAGCAAATAGTTTTGGAAGGTGACACCAGGAGGAGATGGCCTGGTGAGCTGGACTTGGGCAGGGACAAAGAAAACCCACTGTTTACCTGCCTTCCTCTTCATGAAAAATGTTTCCTTGAGCATAAGCAAACAAAGAGCAAGCCAAGGCAATGGTCCCAACCACACAGCCAGCAGAATGAAGGTCACACAGGGTCCTCCAAACACCATTATCTGAGGAAAAAAATACACTGTCAGCAACTACTGTGAAGCATGAAGTAAACCTATAAATCCAAAAGCAACTGAGCTGCTAAAAAAGGTGCCTCCAACACACACACCTTAGGCAGGAAGGTGTCATTATTACCAGCATCTTTATGAACAGGGAAATCTTCTAAAAAGTGCTGTAAAAAAGAAATACTACTGGGCCTAGGAACGCAACTTTCTCAGCATCAGAACCTCAATGAAAACTTTCATGTTCTCTACAGCAAACACAACAGGCCCCAGCATTCAATGTGCATGGGGAAAAAAACCAAAACAAAAACAACAAAAACACAAGGTCTATGACAAATGGAAGTTCTCCTGAGCAGGAGGAACAGCCTTCTGGAGCTCACAGCCAAAACCAGGTGCTCAGCGTGACCCCAGGGGCCCAAGGGAACCCAGAAGAGGCCAAGCCCCCAGGCAGCCACCACTGTGGGGAGCATCTCGCTTCACTCCCTGAGGAGACGCTGCCTCAGGTGTTGCCTGTGATGATGAGCAACACTGATGACATCTGTGCCTGGGGACTGACGTTTTTAAATAGATAAGTAGAGATGATGTGAAATATCTGAAGGGCCCACAGGTTCTTATGGTTTTCTGTGTCCCTTCCCAGGGGCTCCTGAGTGAGAGGTAAGAAATGACACTGACAGTTCTCCCTGATCTCAGCAACATCAACAGCAAAAAAACTAAAGTGAAAAGCAGGGGGTTTTGGGCATTTACCCCTCCAGACAAGCATTAGAGGTGATGAGCTGCCAAGACCCAAGAGGTCAGAGTGACCCAACACTGTAATCAATTCTCAATGTGGCTGAACTTACTGCAACTTAGCACAGGCAGAATCTGGGTCTTCCACAAACCTGAATGGCAAATATCCCTTGGTGTATTTACATAAATCTCCCATTACACAATAGTTATGCCATTACAATCTTTATTTTCTACAGATCTTGGCACAAGTAAAACCCTATTGAGAGCTTAAAACGCAGACTCTCCTGACTAGCCAAATGCCATCATGTGTAAGCTACCCCTATCACACACAATAAACCTCTCCTGAAATGTTCAAAACCACAAGCAACCAACCCTCAGGGGTTTTGCTTTATGGATGCTTCCACTTTATATGCCTAAGGTAATGAATGCCTGCAATGGTGTCATTTGTGACAATGCACTCCTGAAGGTTTTCTTTTTTGGCGTTAAATGTGATTTTAGTCTATTCAAAATAAGTATTCATCCAGAACAGATACAGTCAATTAGTGTATATGAAATGGCCTTATTCTGAAATTATTTCTATTGAACAAAAATACCAAAAACATTAACTATGTTCTGGAGTCCAGAAACAGATCTGATCATAGAATCATAGAATCAACTGGGCTGGAAAAAACCTCCGAGATCATCAAGTCCAGCTCTTGATCCAACATCGCTGTGGTGGTGGCACTGATGCCGCATCCAGTCTCATCTTAAAAACCTCCAGAGACAATGAATCCACTCCCTCCCTGGGCAGCCCATTCCAATGGCTGATCATTCTCTCCGTAAAAAAATTCTTCCTAATAGCCAAACTAAACTTCCTCTGGCACAGCTTAAAACCGAGACCTCTTGTCCTGCTGCTGGTTCCTGGGAGAAGAGACCAATGCCCACCTACACACTCCTGTCAGGGAGTTGTAGAGAGTGATGAGGTCTCTCCCCTGAGCCTCCTCTTCTCCAGGCTCAACAACCCCAGCTCCCTCAGCCTCTCCTCACAGCACTTGTGCTCCAGACCCTTCCCCAGCCTCGCTGCTCTTCTCTGGACCTGCTCCAACACCTCAATATCCTTCCTGACCTGACTGATCCTCTGAACATGTGAAGCGGCTTTAGCACCTGTGGCATCCACCAAACACAGCCTTTGAGCACTGCCATTGCTGCCCGTGTGCCCTGTGGGGCAGCTGCAATACCTGGCAATAAACAAGACTTTTAGTGCTTTCGTATGACTGTGCAGAGATCAGCTGAGCTAGATAAGCAAAACCACAGATTTACAACAAGGAAATAAAGTGAATTAATGTGATAAGGTCAACATCAGAGCCAGGTTCAGAGCAACCCCCAGGCTTTTGAACTGGAGTGCAAAGGCAGCCCATACCAGCAGCATTTTCGGCAGGGCTCCTCTCTTCACCTGTAGCAAATCCCGCCACCAGCACTAAACCAATGATCAGCTGTTGTAGAAGCAGGTCCCACAACCTTGTGCCTTCAAAAGACAGTAGGACATGTTACCACATGGCCTGATTTTAATCAGTGGTCCAATAAAACAAAACAAAAAAAAACAACAACAACTCACTCAAAACCAAACCAAACCAAAACAAAAAAACCACCAAACCTTTTTGGGGCAAAATTTGAACAGAGACTCTGTTTTCACACCAGTATCATACCTGTTATTGAAGGGTTGATGCTGACGAGCAGTGTCAGGGCAGCTGGCACTAAGTAGACAACCTGTTAATGACATATCAATATACTCTGTAGGAAAACGTAGCAAGGTCAGGAAGCAGAAGTGCCTGCCCACAGCAGTACTTCTCCCCTTCCCAGCACTTTGTCAGACGAACAGAGCAACTCCCAGTGCTTCTCCCTCGGGCACTGTTAATGCTCCTCTTTACCATCCCCATCCAAAATCCCGGGCCATCAGCCGAGTGCCAGCCTTGTTTCCCAGCTTCTGAGGTACCAAGTGCTGGCTGCCTGACCAGCCACTGCAGGGCCCCTTCCCTAAATCCTGATATGCCAGGAAAAGCTCTGACAGGGTGCCTCCACCCTGGCCTTTGCCCAGCCTTCGGGGCCGCTGTCAGCGGGGCTCCCCCACCAGGGACACACAGGGGCAGCCCCTGCCCACCCAGCAGCCCCCGTCACACCCACAGACGGTGCCCCTCGGCCCCAGCCCCCAGCCCGGCGCACTGGGCCGGGGCCACGGGCCGCTCCTGTGCCCGAGACAGGGCGGGCAGAGCAGGGGGTCTGTCCCCATTGCCCCCCGGGCCGAGATGAGCCGCCGGAGCGTCCCGGGGGTGACTCAAGGCGAGCGGAGGGCGATGGGTCCCGGGGCCGGCTCGGGGTGCTCCGCGCGGGGAACCGATGCTGTGCAGGGCCAGGTGCAGATCTGGGCTGAAATAAAGGAGATCCTGGAAGCATGGGCTGATTCCAGCTGTCGCTGCACTAGAGAGATCGTTTTCCCGGAGCCTGCTCGCTCTCCAGCTGGAAGCCGGGAGCACGTTTTCTGTGGTGACCCCGGCTCGGGGGCAGAGGGAAGGGAAGGGTAGCCCGGACTCACCGTCCACAGCCCCGCGTCGGGGTCGTTCACCTGCGGCGGGAGGAGAGCGCTGATGAGCCCCCGCCGCCGGCCCGGCCGGAGCCGCGCCCCGCGGGAGGGACGGAGGGGACCAGAGGGGCCGGGATCGGAGCCGCCCCCAGCCCGGGCGACTGCGGCCTCACCTGCACGGCGGCCGCCAGCCCGAAGAAGGCGGCCATGAGGAGGTTGCAGAGCCGCCACAGCCGCGCCGCCATGGCCGAGGCGGACACAGAGGGGCAGGCCCAGAGGGCGGACCCGCCCTGCCCGCCTGCAGCGATCCCGCCCGGCCCCGGCCCCGGCCCCGGCCCCAGTCTGGTGCCGGTCCCCGTCCTCGCTACATCCCGGCAGCGGCGCAGCCGCCTGCGCTGGACCGGTCAGCACGTCTATGCTGTGAGGGTGGGCAGGCCCTGGCACAGGTTGTCCAGAGAAGCTGTGGCTGCCCCATCCCTGGAAGTGCCCAAGAGCTAGTCCGGTGTCCAACCCACGTCTAGTCCAAGGTGTCCCTGCCCATGGCTGGGGCACGGAACGACATGAGCTTTAAGGTCTCTTCCAACACAAACCATTCTGTGATTTATCACTCCTGACTTTTAGTAGGGATTGGAAAATGCTCGTGCTCCAACTCGAGCCAAGTCCAGAGCCGCGTGGCGCTGGGTGCACTGTGCCTATCCCAGGAACTACAGAAAATCCAGGGCTCTCCTGCCTTTCACTGCTGACTGGAAGCTCCACAGCTCCACACCGACAGAGGGCAGGGTTACATTGGCACGATCGCACACTCAGCACCGCGCAGCTGGACACCAGGGCTTTGGGCACGTTGTTACAGCTTTATTCACCCCCAGTCCTTTAGCCAAGGCACGCTGCACCTCTGCCAGGCTCAGGGCAAGCAGCAGCGCAGCGCTTGCAGAAGGCCTCTTGGTCTTTGGTATACACAAGGACTCCTGAGAAACACGGTTGTCTGAGCTGCCAGAGAGCTGACAGAGATGTCCCAGTCTGTCTCCAAGGGCTGAAGGGCTGTGAGTGAAAGAAACAGAGCCCAGATAGACCCAGATAGAACCCACGTCTGCAGAGACCCACCACAGTCCCGACAGAGCACGCTGCCCACTCACCGCTCAGGATCTCAGCCTGACTCTCCATGGCCTCGTCCCTCAGGTGCCGTGTGAGGAGTCCTGGGCACAGAGCTGCATTAGACCCTGCTCCCCAGCCTGCTCCCAGCAGCAGGGCTCTCAGCCCTACCCTCCTCCTCCTCAGCACGGCCTAACCCAGGAGCCACCAGAAGCTCAAGGGAGTGGCCCTCAGGGCTAAGCAGGGGCTGGCAGAGGGAGGCAAGGCCCTGCCCGGGCTGGCCGGGGCTGGGGCAGGCACAGGGCTGGCCCTGGCTGCTGGGGCAGCAGCGGCACAGGGGCCAGGCTGCCCCAAGAGGGACCGCAGGGGCCGGCACTCACCGATGAACCTGACGGCCGCCAGGCGCACGTTGGCCTGAGGGTCCTGCAGGTATGGCAGGCTCTGATGGATGAAATCTTCAGCCCTGCTCCTGCTCTTCTGCAGCTGCACAGACAACAAGGCATGTGTTTCAAGGCCTGTCCCTGACTTGGCTGGAGCAGTGCCTCTTGCCAGCACCCCCTGGCACTGAGAACCCTCCGGTCCTGCTGGGTGCAGGGAGGGGACGGGGCCCTGCAGAAGAGCCCCTGGGGCTCTGCTCCTGAGGGCAGCAACAAGGATGCAGCTCCAGGCTCTGCCCAGTGGCAGAGCCCCCAGCCCAGACGTGGCATGGGGGGCAGCCCTCCCCCAGCCTTGGCCCCACAGCTTGTCCTTACCAAGCACACTCCAAGCTCCCACAGGCGTTCTCTCTGCAGCAGGTGCTTGAGTGTCTTCCACCTCAGCAGCTCTGCGGCAGCAAGAAGGGCTTCCCTGGAGGCCTGCAGGACAGCATGAGCTCAGAGATGGCTCAGGGGCCTGGAGGATGTCAGCCCAGCCCTCTCTCTGTCAGGGCTCAGCCTTCAAACCTGTACCTTGGCCACGCTGGGGACCTGGTCGCTCACACGGAAGAGGAGCGGCACCAGTGCCCGCCACACCTCCTTCCTCATCCTCTTCTCATCCCTCCGAACAACTAACGCCAGCAGCTCTGTGAACGTGCAGATGGACAGCTCTCGCAGCTCGCTGCACTCCTGGCAGGAAGCAGGAAAAGTGAGCTTTGGGAACAGCAGCTCCCTGCCCACAGCAAAGAGGAGCCGGGACCATGGCCGTGGTGAGGGCAGAGGCTGCGGGCTCCCATCCCAGAAGCAGCAGCACTGGGCTGCATGGCCCAGAAGCCGCCCCACGAGAGCCCAGGGGACTGGAGCTGGCTCCAAGTGCTGCTGGCAGGGCTGGGCTGCAGGGCAGCTGTCACTGCCCAGTGCCCATCGGAGAGGCTCAGGCTCCACGTCAGCCTTACCGAGTCAAAGAGGGGCAGGAGCCTCCCCACAAGCTGCACGGCGATGAAGCTGGCCTTTGTCTTCTTCAGCTGACCCTTCTTCAGGACATTTCGCAAGGCCAGCAGGGTCTTCATCTTGGCTTCTTTCCCACCAACTTGCAGGATCTTGAACATGCCCGGCAGGAAGAGTTCAATGTTTCTTGCCTGTAGAGTGAGAAGAATTTCCATTGGGTGTAAAGATCCTTGCTTGACAGGACAGCGTTTGCAGCAGTCACCCCACGTTCTGACGTGGGCCAAGCCTCAGCTTTCCACAGAGCCCCAGCCCCCGTTTGCCGATGGGGCTGCCCCTGACACCGCCCTGCTCACCATCTCGGCTCTCTGTGACAGCCTGACGAGGCCTTCCAGCAGCAACCTGGCTGTCACCACATTGGGACAGCCCTGATGGCTCTCCACATGGGGCTTGTCAGCCAAATCCTGCAGCTCAGCCTTCCTGGAGGATGACTGCAGGAGCAAAGAGGGCCGTCAGTGGTCAGCAGAGCCTGCAGGGCTGGCGGGAGGGGACCGGGGCCTTTTGTGGTCACTCACAGCCATGGGGTGGGTGTGGGGCCCTTCTGCCGAGCAGCAGAAGCAGTGTCTGCGCAGCAGGCTGGAAAACTCCTCCAAGATCTTCTGCAGCATATCGGGCATGGAGGACATCAGCTCCCACAGCTCGGGGGCAGTGCTGGAAGGCAGAGCACTGTCAGCAGGGCTGCCTCAGCCACAGTGCTGGGCCTGGAGCAGCCCCCCAGAACCTCCCCCTTGCAGTCCTTGCTGCACATCCCCAGGGGCTCTGCCCGGCAGGCAGGACAGGGCTGAGGGCATGCTCCCCATGGGGCTGGAGCACCAGGCTGGCTCTGGGCTGGCTCTGGGCTGGCTGGGCCAGCTCTGGCTGCTGTGAAGCCAGCCCACCCAGCACGGCTGCAAAGCAGGGGCGGATGGGGGGCCTGACTCTGCAGGCTGTTCCACAGCATTCCTTGGCTCTGGCAGCCAGAGAGTCTTGGGGTCCCTCTCCCCACATGCAACAAGCCCACCCTCAAGGCTGTCAGGGCCAGTACCTGTCTCCTTGAAGAGCCACCTGACACAGGAGGATGACCACTGTTGTGGGGAAACAGTTGGTCAGCAGGCGGAGTAGTGACTCCACTTTCTCCCACGCTGCCTGTGTCGTGATGTCTTGCAGGCTTTCAAGGATGCAGCTCACTATCTTGGGCACCTGGAGGGGATACAGGTGAGGATGGCAATGGCCCTGGAGTGCAGCCATGTCCTCAGTTGCCCTTCCCATTCCTCTCTGCTGCCTTGAGGTGGCTTTGGGGGCCCAAGTCACCTGTGTTTGGGAGGAACAAGGCCCAACAGGGCTGAAGGGCTGAAGGCCAGGGCAAACCAGCCACAAGCCACTTACATCCGTCAGCCAGACGTCTGGCTCTTCCAAAGCCACATCCAGCAGGCTGCTGGGCCCCTGCTTGTCAAGGATGCTGGAGTCTCTCATGGCCTCGATGGCCACAAGGATGATGTCTCTTCTCTCCTGGGACCGCAGGTATGGTCCAAAGGCCTATGGCAGGAAGCAAGGAAGACATGTCCCACTGAGTGCCCTGATGGTGCTGCTTGGCTGAGCAGCTCGAGCAGCCCTGGCCGGAGGTGCTCGGCACTGCTGTCAGCAGTGCCTGCAGTCCCTGCATGGCAGAAGATGAGCAGAGAGGGCCCTCCTGCTGGGGCAGGAGGGCTCATGGGCACAGGGTGCTGGCCCCACAGACAACCGGGGGCTGGCCAGGTGGCTTGCTGGTGGCTGCTGGAACTGAAGCTGCTGCTGGGACACTGGAGTGAAACCCTCAGGCTGTCCCTGCTCGAGGATGGCGGGAACCCTCTCCCCAGGGAGCTGAGGCCACACCAGCCCCACTGATGCGGCTCCTTTTGCTCGCCCCAGTGCCCTGCCGGTGCCACAGACGCGAGCCCCAGCAAGGACACAGCTCCTCACCTTGGCACAGTCCCTGGCGCTCAGAGAACACAGTGCGGAGGTGGTCACAGCTTCCCGCTGCGCTTGGCCTGCCCTGTCCTTTGCCCTGGATTCCACTAAACACCAGGGCAAACACACCACAGTCAGTAGGCAGAGCAGCTTTGCCAGCAAGCTCACCAAACCGCCCTGGCATCTGCTGGCAAGGTGGCAGGACAGGAGCAGTCAGGATTTTGGGAGGGCATCAGGAGTAGCTTCTGGTACAGGTGTTGCAAGGACCAGCCAGGGTGGGGGATCTGCTCTTCCCCACCAGGGAAGACGTGGCTTGGGGACAGGGGAGTGAAGAGCAGCTTTGGCTGTGGGGCCCACACACCGGTGGGCTTCAAGGTCCTGAAAGGAAGGGCAGGAAGGAGAGCAGCAGCAAACAGGTCCTGGCCTTGAGCAGAGCGCTCGGCTTCTGCAGCAAAGGGGCAGCGGGGAAGCTCTGGGGAGCAGCTGGGAGGGGCAAAGGAGGTCAGGAAGCAGATCTATCAGGAGATGGTGCAGAGGGATGAAGCTCACGACTCCTCTGCCTTTTTTACTTACAGATGAACTCTGCCAGGGCAAAAAGAGCATGGAAAGCTGCACAGCTGGTTTGTTCCTTGGAGAAGCGGAAAAGGATGAGACATCCCATCAGCTTTCCTAGCACTGGCAGTTGGATCTCTGCAGAGCCAAGTCCAGAAATGCCTCCTCTGTCATCAGCACGGGCCTGGATGGGGGAGGCACGAGCAGAAGGGCTGAGGGCACGAAGTTGGTGCCAAAGCCCCCACCCGAGAGCACGCCCAGGGCTGCATTCCTGCTGAGTCCAGGCTTTGCAGAGCCTGCATCCCTGTCCCTCAGAGCAGCCATGTGGGCAGCAGCCCTGGCATGGAGAGAGGCAGGGATGGGGGATGGCCTGGCTGGAGGGGGCCTGGTCCTTACCTGCAGAGTGGAATACTCGAACAGCGCACGGATCAGGACATCAATTCTGACCATGGCCCTCTCCCTCACAGCTTCTCTCTCACACCTGGTGAAGTCCAGCAGCACCTGGCACAAGAGAAGCTGCTGCTGAGCCCTGGGAGCAGACACCAACTGCAGCAGCAGCACAGCTCCACTGTTGGGCTGCACTCACCCCATCCCTCAAGGCTTCCTCTCCCCTCCAGCAAGGATTGCAGTGGGGTGTCTGCCCATGGGTTCCCTCCCAGGTCGGGCACAAAGGTCCCGGAGCCAACCTCAGGGCCAGGCAAGAGGGCAGGTGCCACCTTCTGCAGTCCCTGCGCTCCACAAGAGCCTGCTGCCAGCCCCTGCTTCCCCAAAGGAGGGGGACACCCTCCCTGCAGGGCACTCTGCCTGCTCGGCACTAGTCTGGGGACCTCTCAGCCAGGAGTAGGCAAAGCCTCCCCTTCAGGGTGAGGAACAGCCCTGGGATCCCCTCTTTGCTTGTGCCAGACCTCCAGGATGCCCTGCAGCTCCTCGCTGACTCTGGAGGCAGGAAAGCTGAGCACCATCGTCCTCAGCATGCTGTCCATGGAGTTCAGGGTCTGCAAGGAACACAGAGAGCAGTGGCAGTCATTCTGCTGTTCCTCCCAGCCCCAGGAGAGCCATCTGAACCCCCCTGTGCCACAGGAGGAGGAGGAGGATGCCCACACTTCCCAGGAGAGTCATGGGCATAGACAATCTGCGGGGGCAGAGTAGCCTGTGGCGTGGGACGCGGCCAGGCCCACAGGAAGGGGACAGAGGCACGAGGGTGGCAAAGCCCCTGCCCTTCCTGGCATCCCTGCTCCTGTGGCAGCACGAGGTGGCCAGCAAGCAGCCCAGAGGGGCTGGAGGCTACGGGAGCTCACCCAGCACTTACCTTGACATAGAGGGCCAAGTCCTCTTTTGGCATTTCCTTCTCTGCAGGCAGCCAGAAGACACTGGAGAAACACGCGCGGAGGAGGCTTTTGGCTTTGCCCTCCAGCACTGCGTCCACCAAGCTGCAGGGAGAGAGCAGGGCACTGCTTGCACTCTGGTGCTGGGAGCAGCTCCTCGACGGCTCACGCAGGTGCCATCAGACCTCTGGGCTGGGGGTCCCTGACAAATGGGCACGAACCTCAATTTCTCGAGGGCCAGCATGGAAAGGTGCCGAATCTCCGTGCACAGGCGGTCCCTTGGCTCTTCTTCCAGCAGCGCCTGCAGAGCACAACCGGGATGCCACCTGGCAGCTGCCAGCACCCAGTGCCTGCGCTCCCTGACCTGCCCAAGCGCTGTCCGCACAGCCTGCCTGTGCCAGGGGGCTTTGCTGCCTTCCCCACATTGCCAGCAACACCCTCACCTTGATGTTCTCTGCCAGCTGGTACATGTCAGAGAAGAAATCCAGGCCCTGGGTCAGGCCGAGCTTCACGGCGCTTCTGCACAGCATGGAGATGCTCCGGAGAAATGTCACCTTGTCTCTCTCCTCCTGCCAGCCAGGGGACAGAGACACAAACAGGGACTGGGAGGGGGTGCACGCAGCCAGCAGACCCCAGCCCTGGGGGTGCAGTGCCCTGCGGCAGAAGCAGCCCTGCCCTGCCAGCACCCCTCCAGCAGCCCGGCAGCACAGCCCTGCCAGCAGACAGCAGCACAGCCGCCCTCCAGCTGGCCACAGTTACCTGGCTGGGGCTGGTGACAAAGGCCAGGATGGAATCCACAGCTTCCTGCTCCTCTTCATAGATTGGCAACCAGCTGGCATCTAATGGGGCGAAGAGCAGGGAGAGCTGCAGAGGGTCCAGCCAGAGGAGAGAGCAAAGGATATCTGCCCTCCACCCAGCCCTCTGCCCTCTGCCCCCTGCCCTGGCACAGCCTTCCCTTGTGGCTCCTGGCTGAAGGTTGCCCAGCAGAAGAGCTTCCATGCCTGGGAAAACTCCAGTGCTCCAGGCTCAGGAAGGCACTGGCAGACAGGCAGGAAAGGCCCAGGCTCCCACAGCATGGCTGCCTCCTGCCAGCCCAGCTGCCCCTCACTGCCCACAGCCCAGAGCCCCTCTACCCTGTCCTTCTTTGGGAGAGGCTGTGCTGGGCCTGCGCTCCAGCCCTGAGCAGCCCCAGCATTCGGGCAGCACCAGGGCTGAGCCCCCATTGTCAGCTGGCCAGGAAAGTGGGATCCTGGTGTGCTACAGGGGGTGCTGGTTGGCCCCTGCCCTGCCCAGCCCCACAGGGCTCCTCACTCACCGAACTTCAGGGGCTGCATCGTGGTCACCTCGTAGGGGGACGGAAGCTGCAGACTCGGAGAGCGGCTCTCCTGGGAAGAGCTGTCTTCCATCCAGGCCTGCCTGGGGAAGGCAGGGGGTCTCTTCGCCATCCTGTGGAAGAGACAACAGAGGGGATCCTGCCTGCGGAGGTGTTCCGGGTGGTGGAGTGGAACACCCGGGGAAAAAGGCCCCGGCCTAAACGCCTCAGGCAGAATCCCTTGGCAAAAACGCCTTGGCCAAATCGCCTCAGGCAAAGTGCCTCAGCAAAACGCCTCGGCAGAAATGCCTCAGGCAAAAGGCCCCGGCAAAAGGCCTCAGGCAAAGCGCCTTGGGCCAAACGCCTTGGCAAAAACGCCTTGGCAAAAACGCCTTGGCAAAAACGCTTCAGCAAAACCGCCTCAGCCAAACTCCGCGTTCCCACGGGGGCCGCCAGGGGTCGTGGACAAGACGGGGCTGCACTCGAAGGCTCCTCGCCAGCGCTGCACTCCTGTCCTATCCGGTCGCCGTCCTGACGGACACTGGCACCCCGTGGGCCACGGCAACGCTGAGCACACGCTCTGCAGTGGGGTGTCACAAAGGGCCCCACTGTGACCCACCACCTGCCACCAGAAACAGATCCCAGTGCCTGTTGACACGGCACCTGCCCCCAGCAACGGCTCCCAGGGAGCCATCACGCAGCCAGGAACAGGCAGGGGGGTCCCTGAGGGCACGGACCTGCCTCAGCCATGGGCACCCAGCTGCCCTCAGGGTGTCTGCAGGGCCCACTTTGCTCTCGTGTCCCCTCAGGACATCCTGAGGAGTGCCATGTTCAGACACCTCTGCATGCCCCCAGGACATCCCTTTCCTGTCCCCACACTGCAGAGTCTGGCCTCTGCACCCTTGAATCACAGTAAATGCATAACATTCCCTCAAGCTTAACAGAAACTCTGGATTTTGTCGTCTCTTCTCTTTCTCCCACTGACCAGCAAGAGCTTTTCCCTGCTCCACAGCTCTTCCAGCACGGGGCTGCTCAGGATGCCTCCCAAGGCCTTCGCCAGAGCCCTGCACGGCACCCCGAGCTGCCCCAGCAGAGGCTGAGTGGTCCTGCCAGGCTGGAGGAGCCCTGGGGGGGCTTGGGGCTGAAGGGGGGAGGATGGCACCTAGGGGATCCAGCCCGGAGGGCCAAGCTCCTCAGCATGCTGGGAGCTGTTATCTTCTGGCACAGCCCAGCTGAGTAGCCACACTGGTCCATCTGAGGGGCCAGGAGCTGCAGTCCTGCTTCTCTTGCCTCAGTTCTGTGTGTCTTCTACAGAATCAGACCAAAGAAGCCCCCAGAAGCCCAAAGCCCCTCTCTGACAGCCCCAGAGGTGCCATGGAGCTGCTGCCCAGTGGGACCTCACTCAGGTACCTTCAGAGCCCTGCTCTGCCCTGGGGGGCTGGTCTGGGCTTCTGCACTGCCTGGCGACAGCAAATGGCAGTACAGGAAAGACGTGGCAAGGCTATCTTGGCAAGGAGTCCCCTCCACTGGGAGTTTCCATTGGATGTCCTCAGGACTTGTTTGTTTTTCCATTCAGGCCCTCTGGGCCTAGAGCCCTCCTCATAGCCACAAGTCCTCTCTGAATCCTCTCTTGTGCTGGCGGTGCCTCAACTTGGGCCATTTTGGATGAGGGCCGGCAGTGACAGGACAAGGGGGAATCCCTCACCATGCCTCTAGAGAGAATCAGTCCAGGAATGTCCTGGAGTCATAAAGAGAAGTGGGACCAACACACTGCAGGCAGTTCCTATTCCCACTGTTTCTGGTTGCTGATGTACCTGCAACTTTTGGTCCTGTCGTGTCCCCAGTGGACAAGGGGGTGGAAGACCCAGATTGGGGTCCTGCAGACAGTGTCCAGGATGGTCAGGAGTCCAGATAATGTGACCTTAGAGCAAAAGTGGGCAAAAAGGATACAAAATCTAGTAATAATGCGTGACTGCCTGCGGTGTGGCTGCCAAGGTGACAGAGCCTTCTTTTCCCTGCTGGCACCAGATGATACACCAAGGGGCAGTAGCCGCAAATGGTGGCTTGGAAGGCTGGAAGGTTCTGACCAGACATTAGGGAAACATTTCATCAGGGGAGTCATCCAGCCTGCAATAGGTGACCTAGACAGGCTGAGTGATCTGCATCACTGGAGATTTCCAAGGCTTACCTAGACAAAGCCATTGTTCACCTAGTCTGATGTCATGACAGTCTTGCTGTGACTAGGCTGTCGGACTTGAGACCTCCATCCCTGCCTTCACAGACACATTTTCACATATCTGGGATACCTTACGTACCTGAAAGAGAATTAGATCTTTGCCTTGGTGAATTCATGTGAACAAACTTGTGCAGTAAAACTGACAAGTAGCTATGCAAAAGTTTAAACGCCCGGAGAGGGGCCTGCCTGGGCTGCTGTTAGAGCATCCAGCTCCAGCTCAGCCACAGCCTATGTGAGTTTGCCCATGGAGCCCTTGACCCATGAGGTGACTCCCCAACTTGACCTCACCACCGGGGGTCTCACCAGCCAGGCTGTGTCTGATGCTGTTTACATCCACTGGGGCTGATCCTGACTTGACCGCAGGCTTGCCCGGTCCCTATGAATTGTGGTGGTGATCTGGGATCTCAGTTGGATCCAGCTGCAGTCCCTGGGTCTGCCCTGCTTGCCCTGTGCCAGGGTGGTGGGACAGGCTAGGAAATTTGGTGATGTTGAAGAACCATGAGTGTAGGGAAGGAGAACCATGAGTGTAGTGAGTTGAGAATAAGAGGAGAATTCTTTCTTTTCCTTGCCAAGAGAGTGGGATTTAAATAGAAATTTTTTTAATGGTCTAGGATTAGTTTTGTATTTAAAAGATGCAGTCATTTTGTGTCATCCGGAGAACAAAAGAGGATATTGCTGCCTCCTTGTTTGCACATCATTTATGACCAGAAGTGACAATAAGTGATGAATTGAAAGTGGACACTTCAGAAATGTTATCCCTACCATATCCATCTGCCAAAACTGAGCCTCTGTCAGATCATTTCTCCCACCAATTTCAGTAACAGCATCATACATTTCCCTCAGCCCCCAACAGAATCGGGTCTTGCTAAATTGTTATGGGGAGGACAGGTGACTCTCCACATTTTTGGAGAGAATTAGTGCTTGTTTTATAAGATTTTTAACTGAGTCTTTCTTTGACCAGGTTATGAGATTTACTGCAGAGAAAGATACAGAGAAGAGTTGTCTTTGTAAATGATTGCCACTGATCTCCACTGAGCAGGCGTTATTCTGTGTTATTCTGTACATTAAACAATGTCTGGCAGCTGCAGGCAGAACAGCAGGCCATGTTCACTATAACTAAATCCCTCCCTACATTTACATTGATTGACATTCCCTTCCTGAAGCCCAGAAAAATTAAACCACTCTATAGGCGACTCACTTTAAAGTTGGACTCGATGATCCTTGCGGGTCCTTTCCAACTCAGAATATTCTGTGATTCTGGGATTGTACAGTCACCCTTAGGAGTACAGCTTTCCTCCTGTTCACAAGCACTCCAGGAAGGGACTACAAACGATTAAAGGAAAGCTGGAGAACTACACTCCACATTGTTCTCTTTCCAAACTCAGCTTGAAACTTGGATTAGCAACAGCAACAGTCCAAATATTCCTGCAATTTCCCAGTAGGTCCCTGTGGGGCTGCACTCACCAACTGAGGCACCATGAACTACATACACCATTCCCCTGGTTTGGGTTTTTTAAGGAGGACCTCACTGGAGAGCACTCAGCAATGTTTGTCTCTCTGATGCAAGCCCTGTCTCCAGTCCCTTCCTCTCACCTCAGAAGGAGCAGAGCTCTAGTAATGAATCACCTTCATGTCTTGTTTTCAGGTCCAGGAAATTGTATTATTTTCTAAGGGAGGAGAGGTTATTTTGGGCTAGAAAATGGAAATGTTAAGGGTTAAAAAGCAACAGCAGTGTTAAAAAGAGTAAGAAGAATGTAAGAGACAGAATGTCTTTCACTAGGGTAATTTATATGAGAGGAAAATAAAAGCAGACAAGCTTTTCGGCACAATGGCTCTTCTTTGTGTGGGAAACAAAATTTTTTTTCAACCACACCAACTGATCTTCAAAAAGAAAACTAATCTGTGATAAACTCTTTGACTCCTGACAAGCTATTGTGTGAAGCTGCACAGCACACCTGGTTTCTGTCACAGCTGGACTGCTCCTTGCCTCACTGGGACTGGGAGGGAAGCAGAGGAACAGCCAGGCAGATGGATCCCTGGCTCCGTGTGGGGCGGGACAGGGCTCTGCCGAGGGGAAGACGTGGCTGGGCTGGCAGAAAGCAGCTTCCGTGGGCACTTGGGAGGGATGGTGTGGAGGGTTTGGCAACCCTGTGAGTAAGCAAAGTTCAGTGACACAAGAGCAAGAAAGGGCAAAAGGCCCCCCTGTCGCTCCTGAGGGTAGGGTGGGAAGGAGGGCTTCTTTACTAGTTGTGGCGTCTGCATCTGCCTTGCTCTTTGCTGCTCTAATTCAAAAGCAATCGAGCTGTGGCTTGCCATAGAAATAAAAAGGTCTTTCAGTGTTTGGTGTGCTTACTGCAAAGAAGAGGTCGAGGCTGTTCACTTTAAAGCTTTACCAAGTATCCCGAGCACTTCGTAAAACCACTTCCCTCCAGGGACAGCGGCTGCCGGCAGTGACCCCAGCAATACCGCCTTCTCCCATGAGAGGGAGGCCAAGAACCTTTAGTACCCCTGAGTAGAACTGGAGCTACTTGTTCCTCAATATTACACAAAACATTTCCCTCCTTATGCCTCTCTGGATCTGCCACTTATCCCATAGTAGTCCAAGCTTACCTTCAGTTTGGCAACTCCACCTGTTAAGAACAGAGGCTGCAGGGATGGACCCAGCAGCCAAGCTGTGATATCCAGACCCAGGCTGTTTCCCAAGAGCCTGTACCACAGATGTGACCGAAACACTGCCATGGTCATCCATCCTAGTGACCCACTCCATAAGGGCCCTCATCCTTGTGCCATAAATGATAGATTGATTTAGACTGGATCAAAAGTGCTGAAAAGACTCTGGGTGAACAGGTGAAGTGTTTGGGAGCTTTGGAGTGTTCCTGACCCCAAAACCCGGACTGCAATTCCAATAGGGACATCTGGAAATAAATACACAG